TTGGCGATAGGTGACCCATGTTTCAGACCCATAAAGGAGAATAAACAGAACAATTTGTAGTTTGTAGTCCAGCAACAAGTAGGAAGGCTGTTTCAGCCTGTGCATTGTACACAAGAAAGCAATTCCACCATCACCATCACCATCACCCCCCAAAAAAGTGCCAGAAGAGCCATGGGACTAAAAAGCAAGAAGCCGAAGGGCACAAGAGGACAAACTAGGCTGAGACGACCAAATAATCCAATTACGAGAAGAAGGGGGAGAAGACACCATGCCAAAATTGGCAGGGCCACAAAGCTGAAGTGAAATATGAGCAGAGAAAGTTGAAAAGAAAAAAAAATTATCTATAACGAAAGTTACTGGGAGGAAGACAAATATGTTTGCATCTTTTCAGTCTACTGAGGGTACGATACTCAAATCGTTTGGTGCATCTGCCCTATAGAAATAAGGCAGTTTGATACCACTTTCAGTGTCGTAGCTCCAGCCTATGGAATCCTGGGATTTGTAGTTTTACAGTGTCTTCAGCCTTCTTTGCTGAAGCATGCTGCTGAGAGCCAGTGTGGAGTAGTGGTTTGAATGCTGGACTACAACTCTGGAGTCCAAGGTTTGATTCTCTGCTCAGCCACGAAACCCACCTTGGGACAGTCACAGATTCTCATCTTCATCTTCTCTGAACAAAATCTTGCCAAGAAAAACCTGGGATAGCTTTGCCTTAGGGTTGCCATAAATCAGGAACAACATGGAGGTGCACAACAACAACAGCCTCACCAAACTACAAATCCTAGGATTCCGTAGGATGGAAGTATGGCAGTTAAAGTGATATCAAACTGCATTATTTCTACAGTGTAGATGCACCCTAACTCATGACTAAAGAGTCATACTACTCAGGGTTTTGCAGACAAAAAAAAACCATCCTTACCCTCCCCAGGAATTTTAGGGTTCTCCAGCAAATATCTCCTGGATGATCATTTTATAGATTTTCATCCCTCCTATCTACCCACAATTTGCTTGACTTGGATCACTCGCAAATGACTGTTATTTCTCCATGACAATGTGTACTTCAGACCACCACACATAATTCATGGCTCATTTATCAGACAATGAAAACAAGGAGCCACATAAGACCATGAGACCATGAATTGTAATATTTTTTTTATTCAGCCCTTTTTATTTAGACAGATCTTTGGCTGTTGCAGAAGGGTCTTTTTCGTGGGGGTGCTGTACTTTTATTTCCATCATAAATGCTTTAAAATTGTTTTAAATGAGTGTTTTAACAGGATTGCTTATTTATTTATGTTTTGTTTGTTTGTTTTACTTTTGTACTATAAATTGTTTTAGCTGTATTTTGTTTTAACCTATGCTGTAAACTTCCCAAAGTCTCATATTGAGAGAAAGGCGGTATAAAATAAATAATTAAATAGATAGCATATAATGGCCAGTCATAGCTTTCCTACAGTTTTTCTCAGCAATTTTCTCCAGTTTTGCCTGGAGGGGAATATTCTGCACAGAGCTATGGGCTTTCCCTTGCTATTCTTGGGTGAAGCCACAACCACTGTCCTTTAGTATGGCAACACAATAAATCTTTTGCTTTTGCAGCAATCCTGAAACAAGGCCAGGGGAGTTTCGAAAAGCAGGCTTGGTCATTTTTTGTTCCAAATGTCCCAGAACAAACAAACCAAAACAAAAATACAAGATGCTCACTGCATTGCCTTATTATAAAAGGATATGACACTATCCACCATGCTAGACCAAATGCAAGCGGATATCGCAGCACATACTTATGGAAGAAGAAATTACAACAGGATGCAAAAGACACCAGAAATGTGATAGAGGAAATATTATATACAGAATATCAGGGGCAAAGAAGTAAAATCAGTTTGAGACAAGTTTCAGAGAGTTTGTCAAGTGAAAATGAAATCTACATGGAAATGGTATTTCAAGACAGATCCAAAAAGAGAACTGTGCAGTATCTAAGAGTGCATCTACACTGTCGAATAATGCAGTTTGACACCACTTTGACTAACATGCTTCCATCCTACAGTATCCTGGGATTTGTAGTTTTGTGAAGGCAAAAGGTCTTGTAAAACTACAAATCCCAAGATTCCATAGGATGACACTACAGCACCTATGTGGTGTTAAACTATTATTTCTATACTGTAGATGTACCCTAAGGCATAAAGTGATGTGGCTAGGTTTGGGTTCTAAACCCTAAAGGAAAATACAGTTAACTGTAAAATAATTTTAAAACAAAACAAAACCTGGACATATCCTACCCAGGCTCACATTCCCAGTATCGTTTTTAAGTTTTAAAAAATAAAACACAAAAACAGTCCATAAAACTAAACGCCTCCTGTATGATGCCTAAATTATATTACCTGCCTCTGCCATTATCTGTACTGGGACTCTTGACAACATTATCTAGCTGACAGATTAGAAAAGAAACACCTAAGAAAGTTACTTTCTAAAAGTTATTTGTCATGCAAGTTGTTGCAGAAGCTGGAAAAGTAATTTTCAGGCATTAATTTTACAAAACCAAAAATGTAGCCCATTTCATTTTTTTTATCCTATTACTCTTCATATTATTATTATTATTATTATTATTATTATTATTATTATTATTATTATTATTCTTTGCTGAGAAAAGAATCTTAAGACTGGGAACAGAATGGCAAACGATCATGGAGATCTCCATTCAAAATGACTCCAAAATGCCTTAACAAAGCTCTGGTGCCACAATTCCCAGAATTCCATAGCACTGAGCCAGGGCAGTTAAAGTGGCGTCACATCAGATTATTTTTGCAGTGCGGATGCAGCAAACCTCAATTGTCAGGCAGGCACACATAGGCAGAGGCACCTCCTTCAAGTACAAGCCAAACTTTGATGAAATAGATATGTTCCTAGGCATTGCTTCTTCAACAGAAAATTTCACACCAAAGGCAGAAATATTTGGGGAGGGGGGACAGGTTTAGGTTCCTACCTCACAAGAAAGAAGAACAGTTTCATATGTTTCAACCAACTACGTTTTTCACAACTAACAATATGAATATGTGAAATGAAACAATAAGATCAGAGAAACGTTGTATACGTAAACAAAAACATGTTGAGCCTTTTAGAAGACACTTGGAGACGTCCTCCAAAATGCATCCAAAGATGACTTTTCACCAGCCTCGCCACCTCCTTTTTTTATTTATGATTTGCTTGTTGGTAATCAGACTTGTAGATCTATGGTTTTTAGGTGTGCTGGGAGTAGCTGGTGAGGCAGCTGTATCTGCTTCCTCCTTTTCTTTCTCATTTCTTCTTCATGCATGCTCAGTAAGGAATTGTGGAGATGGCTACTGTTGTATGCGTGCCCGACCGCATGGCGTGTGATGTCAGGGCGCCCCATTGGCACAGCATGCACACACGCTGCGCGAAAGGGATGTAAACGTAGCATTTTGCCACTCCAAAAAGGAGCAGCAAAAAGCCAGATCGGGGCCATGGCGTGTGATTCCCGTGACCCCGATCCGGCGCTCCCAGGGGTGGCATAGAGCCACCCCTTAGGGGCCATCTGCATCTGCCCTAAGACTGGCGAGAGTAGAATCCCATTCCTTCCCAGCTCAAGCTTTATTGCATTGTTCACTGCAGAATTGCTGCTGCAACTAAACACCAAAAGTATGTGTTTCTGCAGCTCTCCTTCACTATCTTCCCAGTGCAGGGGCTGCGTTATAAAACCTTTTTGGTTAAGACAGCTTAAAATGCCAGTATGATTCTAGGTTGCATCAATAGGAGTATAGTGTCTCAAACAGGGGTGGCAAACCTATGGCATGCGTGCCAGAGGTGGCACTCAGATCGCTCTCTGCGGGCACCCCAGCAAAGAGTTTGCCAGAGTTTGTTACTAGAAAGCCAGAGGGATGTGGCACTTTATGATAAGTAAGTGGATTTTGGGTTGCAGTTTCCCATCTCTAAAAGGTTTGCCATCACTGGTCTAGAATCTAGATCAAGGGAAGTAATGGTACCTTTCTATTCTGCTTTGGTCAGACCTCACCTGGAATACTGTGTCCAATTCTGGACACCATAATTCAAGAAGGATGTTGACAAGCTGGAGCGTGTCCAGAGGAGGACGACCAAAATAGTGAAAGGAATGGAAACTATGCCTTACAAGGCTTGGCTTAGGGAGCTGGGTCGGCTTAGCCTGGAGAAGAAAAGGTTAAGAGATGACATGGTAGCCCTGTTTAAATATCTGGAGGGATGCCATATTGAGGATAGAGCAAGCTTGGGTTTTTTTGCTGCTTGAGAAACCGGAACACAGAGCAATGGATTCAAAAGAGATTCCACCTAAACATTAAGAGGAAATTTGACAGTGGAGTGCACTGGAATGCACTGTTTTTAAACAGATAATAATAATAATAATAATAATAATAATAATAATAATAATAATAATAATAACAACAACAACAACAACAACAACAACAACAACAATAATAAATGTATAGCCCGCCTCTCCCCAAAGGATCAAGGCG